GTGTCAATTATTACTTTGATTTAATCAAATTAAGCCGATCATTTAGTCTATAAATAAGATTGAAAAAAAAAGTTAATCAAAAGTGCTTTATTGTACAAGAGTTTAGATTAGTTTACTGTCGTTTTTTTAGCCTCTATTAACCCCAATTCAAAAATTCTAGAATTATTCTAAAAAAGCCAGGTTTAAAGCCAAAGGTTTAGATCGATTTTCGCCTTTTTTTGAACCCTAGTTTGTTCGAAAAGGCTTAGGCAAAAGCGAAAAATTTTGAGCTGACTTGGCTTGGCCTAGAAAAGTAATTGTAAGCTAGGTTAGATCTTTAGTTGAGCTTCTCTAGACCTTGAGCTTTTCTAGACCTTGAGCTTCTCTAGACCTTGAGCTTCTCTAGACCTTGAGCTTCTCTAGACCTTGAGCTTCTCTAGACCTCGAGCTTCTCTAGACCTCGAGCTTCTCTAGACCTTGAGCTTCTCTAGACCTTGAGCTTCTCTAGACCTTGAGCTTCTCTAGACCTCGAGCTTCTCTAGACCTCGAGCTTCTCTAGACCTTGAGCTTCTCTAGACCTTGAGCTTCTCTAGACCTCGAGCTTCTCTAGACCTTGAGCTTCTCTAGACCTTGAGCTTCTCTAGACCTTGGGCTTCTCTAGACCTCGAGCTTCTCTAGACCTTGAGCTTCTCTAGAAAGTGCACAGAAAGACATTTACAGTATAAAGATGCAAAATAAACCTACTTTTTGGCAACTTCAATTTACCAAATCAAATTTCTTTATTTCACTTTACATTTTCCGTCAAATTCTCGAACTCGACACTTATTTTCGCCTCAAAATCTAGCTCATTTTGTTCGATTTTTTGCGTTGATTCGGGTTTTTGATTGATTTTTAATTGATTTTTGGGTAAATTCGGGTTAAAAATCGGTCAAAAATTGCCAAAAAGTCAGTGAATTTTGAGAAATTTTCTCGAATTTCTTTCTCACTAAATTTTCGCTTTTTAATCTGCTTTCTCAATTCTCTAATTTCTCTAATTTTCTATTTAAGTTTAAAGCTTAGTGATTAGTGATTAGATTAGCGCGTGAGCTTTTTGAGGTCTGGTTCGGATCCTTTTGCTGTCAAACATTTTACTTTCTTTCAAAAATGACTTTAAAATTCAGTTTTCTCATTTTGTGAGCGGAAAAACGAAGGAGAGATTTGGAATCGATGAAAAAAATTGAATAAAATGAGCTAGATGAACAAAATGACGCGAAGCTAAGTGTCAAATTCGAGAGTATTATTCGTTTTCTGCTTTTCTACCCACTAAAAATCCCGGGTTTTCTAGAAAAAGTGGGAATTTTTCTTCATTTTCTCCCAACTTCACCTCCCAGGCTTCTCTCGATTCTATTCAAATTGTTTTCTACAACTTTGATTCCTTTTTGCTACAATTTTGATTCCTTTTTAACTACAAATTTGGTTCTTTTTTAGCTACAATTTTGATTCCTTTTCTCTAGAAATTTGGTTCCTTTTCTCTACAATTTTGATTCCTTTTCGCTACCCACTGGAAATCCCGGGTTTTCTAGAAAAAGTGGGAATTTTTCTTCATTTTCTCCCAACTTCACCTCCCAGGCTTCTCTCGATTCTATTCAAATTGTTTTCTACAATTTTGGTTTCTTTTGTTTACAAATTTGGTTCCTTTGTGCTATAAATTTGATTCCTTTTCTCTACAATTTTCATTCCTTTTCTCTACAAATTTGGTTTCTCAACTTTTGAGTGTGTTTCTTGAAAAAAGCTCTTGAAATCGTTTCTCTTTATTTTCTCTGAGAAAACATTGGCTTAAAGTCTTTTCTTTTGTTCTTTTCATTGTCTCAATTCAAGATTTTAACTGAATTTATGTAAAAATTCAATTTTTTACAACAAATTTTCTTTAGAAATAAATCTTGTTTGATTTTTAAAAAAAAAGGCCAAATTTCCTCTCGCTAATTGGATCTATTTTTTGTCGGAAAAAGAATTAAATAACGAATTGAATAACGAAATTTAGAGGAATTGAGTTTCTTCAGCTTTTCAAAGAAGAAACTACCATAAAAGATGTTGTTCTCTTGTTTTTGACTTCTTAAAACATCCAAGTCCATTCCCGAATCTTCTGAGCATTTAAAGTCAACCTTTAAAGTCAATCCAAGTTTACCTTTCCTTTTCTCTACAGATTTATTTCCTTTTCTCTACAATTTCGTTCCTTTTCGCTACAAATTTGGTTTTTAAATGACTTTTCTCCATTCAAACGACTGAATATCCAAATTTTTCGGCGTGAAATCACTTCTGTAAACATCATTCCTTCAAGAAATTCCCCTGTTTACCCAGAGCTTACCTCTTTTTTTTTCTCTTTTTCTCACTCTTTCTTTTACTACTCGATTTTTCTCAATCAAACCCTTGAATCTTCACTTCCAAAAGAAAATCTCAATCTAAACCTTTAAATTTCTACTTAAATGCCATCATAAAGATCATGATTTGAATAGCCGAGTGGCTAGCGGTCTTGGCTGAGCTTGGCTGAGCTTGGCTGAGCTTGGCTGAGCTTGGCTGAGCTTGGCCGAGCTTGGCTGAGCTTGGCCGAGCTTGGCTGAGCTTGGCTGAGCTTGGCTGAGCTTGGCTGAGCTTGGCTGAGCTTGGCTGAGCTTGGCTGAGCTTGGCTGAGCTTGGCTGAGCTTGGCTGAGCTTGGCTGAGCTTGGCTGAGCTTGGCTGAGCTTGGCTGAGCTTGGCTGAGCTTGGCTGAGCTTGGCTGAGCTTGGCTGAGCTTGGCCGAGCTTGGCCATCGATCTTGGCCCCAGTTCGATCTCAAGTACGACAAAATTTTTCCTTAACTCTAAACATTTTCTAAACACTATAACTTTTCATTGTGCGTTCCAATTCGATGATTGAATTCAAAATCGAATGAAAAATTCTACAAAAATTACAGAAAATTGGCTTAATCAAGGAATTTCTTGAAAAAACGTTGAAAAAATGTTTAATAAACCGTCTAGAGTTGAAATTTTGATAAATTTTAGTGATTCTTTTTGTTTATCTTGTTTATCTTCTTTTATTTTTGCTTATAGCTTCGTTTTGAAGCTGATTTTTTGAGCAAAAATTTTATTTTAACGAAATTTTCGCTCTTTTCACTTTTTTTTTTACATAAAAGCTTAAAATTGTTAAAATTTTGTGAAATTTGTATTTTATTTGTATTAGTATTCTAGCATTCTTTAGAAATTTAAGCATTTTAAAAAAGAAAAGAAAGAAGTGACTAGAGATTTAACGATTTTTAAGAAAAAAAAGAAAAAAAGCGTTTTTTGGCTAATGAACTCGATTTTTTCGCTGATTTTTAAGCCAATTCTTTCCCTGATTCTTCTTTTTTTGAACAAAGAAACGAGAAAATACTCTTTCTATAGAAAAGAGAAAAAAAAGAAAACATTTTCTTTCGTTTTTGAAATTTGAAATGTTGAAAATGATTGAAATTTGTAGAAAAAAAACGGGGAAATCATCAAACTCCAAACCCTTTTTTTTATTTAACCACCTTTCCCCATTCTGACCATTTCTTTTTGTTCTGTGACTTCCAGATCACAAATATTGCTTTTTGCATTTGCTGATTTGTGGTTTTGATTTGCTGATTTCTCAGGGAAACCTTTGCAGATTGAAAACCGAATTTGATTGGGCTTAGTTTTTCCCTTTTTCGTAAACACAACCTATCTGACACCTCAATTTTCAATCTTTCTCCACAAGAAGCGAGAAAATTAAAGAATTTAGTGCGCCAGAAGGGTGCGTTTATAAAAGAGCACAAACTACATTTCTAGTAAAGATGTAAAGAGTAAAGATGGTGGCTACAGTAAGCCAGGAAACAGTTACAGCAATCCTAGATACAGTATGCTTAACGGCTACAGGAATCCTGGGTACAGACTGTCTAACGATTACAGTAGTCCTAGCTACAGTAGTCGTAGCTACGGGAAGCCTAGCTACAGGAATCCTATCTACAGGAATCCTAGCTACAGGAATCCGAGCTACAGTAGTCCTATCTACAGGAATCCTAGCTACAGGAATCCTAGCTACAGTAGTCCTAGCTACAGGAATCCTAGCTACAGTAGTCCTATCCACAGGAATCCTAGCTACAATATTGCTAACGACTACAGAAATCCTAGCTACAGTACGCCCAAAAGGATAGAGTAATCCTAGCAGAGTATGCTTGACGGTTACAGTAATGCTAGTTACAGTATGCTTAACGGCTACAGTATCCAGATCCAGATCCAGATTACCCACCTTTCCCGGTTCATTTAACCAATTTTTTTTTGTTCTGTTTGATATTGTTTTAGATTGTTTACAGACATCAATCTACTACATTTCCATTTAAATACCATCATTTTAGCCGAATGGCTAACGATTTTGGTCACCGATCTTGACCGATCCAATGTCCCGGGTTCGATACCGGGACATTGGATCAAATTTTTTGTTTTTTGTTTTAAATAATTTTTTAAGCACTAGAGACTTTCTTGTGCATTCCAGATTAACAATTAAGCTAACTGGCTAGCGAGCTTGACCACCGATCTAATGATCTGATGATCCAGGGTTCGATCCCGGGTTCAACCAAATGTTTTTTCTTCTCTAAACAAATTTCTAAGCACAACAAAATCTCTTGTGCATTCCAGATTGACAATTAAGCTAAGTGGCTAGCGATCTTGACCACGGATCTAACGAGCTAATGATCCAGGGTTCGATCCCGGGTTCGACTCCGGGCTCAACTAAATTTTTTTCTTTTCTAAACACAACAACATCTCTTGTGCATTCCAGATTGACAATTAAATTGAAAATTGATTAGAAAACACTTTAAGAATTTCATAAAATTATCTTGATCAAGAAATTTGTTGTAAAAAACTTTCAAAAAACGTTTAAATTCAAAATTTTTGATGGATTTTTGAGCTTTTTTTCTATTCTATAAAGTATTTGATATATCTATTTGTTATTTTTTATTTAATTTATCTATTTTAGGTAGATTAGTTGGTAGAATAGAGGTCAAAAAGCTGAAATGTCGGAGATAAAAAGATGGACTTTATTGTCATTATTGGATCCAGAATTTGTTAATAATATAAAAGTAAGTTTTAGAAGTTTTTTAATAAGTTTAAATGCTAAATGATAAAGGAATTTGATAGCTTTGAAAGCTTTTGTTGAAAGCTTTCAAAGCTTTAATTAAAAGCTTTGAAAGCTTTAATTGAAAGCTTTGAAAGCTTTAATTAAAAGCTTTTCTTTCCAGGAATGCATCGTTTTTGGAAGTGCTGGTTGCGAGGCGCTCATTCACACGAAAGATGATCAAGTTTATGGCCTAGGCACCAATTATTGCTGTTGGTTGGGTAAGTAAACAGCGAAATCTCGAATCTCATCGTTTAGCTAAATGGCTAGCGATCTTGACTACCGATCTAATGAGCTAATGATCCAGGGTTCGATCCCGGGTTCGACCCCAGGCTCGACCAAATTGTTTTCTTTTCTAAACACAACAACATCTCTTGTGCCTTCCAGATTGACAATTAAGCTAAGTGGCTAGCGATCTTGACCACGGATCTAATGAGCTAATGATCCAGGGTTCGATCCCGGGTTCGACCTCAGGCTCGACCAAATTTTTTTCTTTTCTAGACACAACAACTTCTCTTGTGCCTTCCAGATTGACAATTAAATTGAAAATCGAATAGAAAACTCTACAAGAATTGCGGAAAATTAGCGTGATCGCTTGATTTGATAATTTCAGGAGTTCCATCTGGCTCTTTTGAACCACTAAAGATCGATTTGCTTTGCGGGAAACGGATAAAGCAATTTGCGTATGGATCAGGTGAGATAAAATGGATAAAAAGCTTCAGATAAGTTCAAGAATTCCTCGATAACAAATAAAAAATCGAAAATTTAGGTCCTCATTTGTTAGCTTTATCAGAAAGCGGTGAAGTTTTTGCTTGGCGGCATAACTCTTTTGGGCAATTGGGTAAGTGAAACGGCTCTCTTTCAGTGAACTGGCTCTCTTTCATAGAACTGGCTCTCTTTCAATGAACCGGCTCTCTTTCAATGAACCGGCTCTCTTTCATAGAAAGGGCTCTCTTTCAATGAACCGGCTCTCTTTCATAGAAAGGGCTCTCTTTCAATGAACCGGCTCTCTTTCAATGAACCGGCTCTCTTTCATAGAAAGGGCTCTCTTTCAATGAACCGGCTCTCTTTCATAGAAAGGGCTCTCTTTCAATGAACCGGCTCTCTTTCAATGAACCGGCTCTCTTTCATAGAAAGGGCTCTCTTTCAATGAACCGGCTCTCTTTCAATGAACCGGCTCTCTTTCATAGAAAGGGCTCTCTTTCAATGAACCGGCTCTCTTTCATAGAAAGGGCTCTCTTTCAATGAACCGGCTCTCTTTCAATGAACCGGCTCTCTTTCATAGAAAGGGCTCTCTTTCAATGAACCGGCTCTCTTTCAATGAACCGGCTCTCTTTCATAGAAAGGGCTCTCTTTCAATGAACCGGCTCTCTTTCAATGAACCGGCTCTCTTTCATAGAACCGGCTCTCTTTCATAGAACCGGCTCTCTTTCATAGAACCGGCTCTCTTTCATAGAACCGGCTCTCTTTCATAGAACCGGCTCTCTTTCATAGAACCGGCTCTCTTTCAATGAACCGGCTCTCTTTCATAGAACCGGCTCTCTTTCATAGAACCGGCTCTCTTTCAATGAACCGGCTCTCTTTCATAGAACCGGCTCTCTTTCATAGAACCGGCTCTCTTTCAATGAACCGGCTCTCTTTCATAGAACCGGCTCTCTTTCAGTGAAACGGCTCTCTTTCAGTGAAACGGCTCTCTTTAAATCAATCTTTAAATCAGTACCACAAAGTTTGCAGTACCACAAAGTTTGCAGTACCACAAAGTTTGCAGTACCACAAAGTTTGCAGTACTGCAAACTTAGAAGTTTGTAGTGGAACAAAGATCTGTCTTACTTTGGTAAATGATAAAATTCTTTAATAGTCGTGCACTTTCTAATAGTATTGCGGTTCGAGAGGGGGTTGAAAAAATAGTACTACTATTAGAGAGAATACGGTAAATTTCAATAAAAAAACATTAAATTTCAATAAAAAAACATTAAATTTCAATAAAAATCCTCCTTTATAGTTCTTTCATAGTTCCTATTTAGTTCCTTCAAAGCTCCTTTAAAGCTCCTTTAAAGCTCCTTCAAAGCTCCTTTAAAGCTCCTTCAAAGCTCCTTCAAAGCTCTTTAAAGCTCCTTTAAAGCTCCTTTAAAGCTCCTTCAAAGCTCTTTAAAGCTCCTTCAAAGCTCCTTCAAAGCTCCTTCAAAGCTCCTTCAAAGCTCCTTTAAAGCTCCTTTAAAGCTCCTTTAAAGTTCCTTTAAAGTTCCTTCAAAGCTCCTTCAAAGCTCCTTTAAAGCTCCTTCAAAGCTCCTTTAAAGCTCCTTTAAAGCTCCTTTATAGTTCATTAAATTTCAATAAAAACATTATATTTCAATAAAAAAACATTAAATTTCAGTAAAAAAACATTAAATTTCAATTAAATATGAATTAAAATTGAAATTGATTTTTTTAGAACTCTTAGAACTTTTAGAACGACTATTTAATTTAATTTACTATTTAATTTTAAGCTATTATTTACAAATTTCTTTTTAGAACCTCAAAACTGTGTTCAATTCAACTGTTAAATGCTTTACATGTAAAGTCATGCGATGGGAAAACCGGCATTTACTTCACAAAGCATACACCACAACTAAATGGAATGTGGGACATGTTGGTGGCTGGAACGAATGGAGAGTAAGTTGAGAAAGAGGAAACAAACAAAAACAAGAAACAAACAACAAACAACAACAAGAAACAAGAAACAAACAAAATTCGAATTCATAGGAAAAGCCAGGATTCTAGACTGATATAGTTAATCTTTAGGTTAAGTTTTGAGTCTAGAAAACAAAGCCTAGCCCAGATTTACTGCACTTTGCTTTTCTGGGTAGATTTGTTTAAAAGCCAAGCTCTAACCTAGCCAAGCCTGGCTTTAGCATTGGCTTGGCCTAGTTTTCCTACACTTTTCTACACCTAAATCTTGTTTCAGGCTAAGCTGAGAATCCCTAATGATTCTTTAAACCTAATCCTTAAGGATAAGCTTAAGAATGTTTAATTTAAAAAAACTTAATCCTTAAGGATCAATCCTTAAACAATCAATCCTTAAAGGTTGACTGGTTGGCTGGCTGTGTCGTGTGTGGCCCTAATGAAGCCCAGAGCAGTGAGCAGTGAGCAGTGTGCAGTCTCACCCTTCACCCACAGCCAGCCAACCAGCCAACCAGTCAACCTTAAACAATCAATCCTTAAAGCAATCAAAGCTTAATTTCAGTCTCCCAATGACCAACGAACTCTATTTTAACTCAAAAGTGCCTGGGATTTACATAAACATTTTGGATTTGACGGGAATTCGTGTCAGAGCGTCACTGAATGAGGATTGTGTAGCGCCGTGGACGTCTGGAGCTGGTAGAAACATGTTTTTAATAAAAAAATAAGCAATGTTTATAAATCTTTACAATTTAAAGCTATCATTTAACTCAATTTTCGATTATTTTTATAGAAAATAGGGTAAATTGTTTTGAAAAATCTAGAAAGAATGCGTTTGGACAACTTCTTCGGAGCACCAGGTGTTGGGATTTCTTCAAAACCCAGCCCAACAACGAGACGAGTGATTTTACAACGATATTCGAAACATCCACGAGGATTGCCGATTTCAAAAAAGGTTTATAATCTGGAAATCGGTTTAAACAAGCGGAAAAATCTGGTAAAATGCTTTTCAAACTTTGATTTAAATGAATAAAATTGAAGGTTTGATAAAACTGAAGCAAAGCAAGCAAAGCAAGCAAAGCAAGCAAAGCAAGCAAAGCAAGCAAAGCAAGCAAAGCAAGCAAAGCAAGCAAAGCAAGCAAAGCAAGCAAAGCAAGCAAAGCAAGCAAAGCAAGCAAAGCAAGCAAAGCAAGCAAAGCAAGCAAGCAAGCAAAGCAAGCAAAAGCAAGCAAAGCAAGCAAAGCAAGCAAAGCAAGCAAAGCAAGCAAAGCAAGCAAAGCAAGCAAAGCAAGCAAAGCAAGCAAAGCAAGCAAAGCAAGCAAAGCAAGCAAAGCAAGCAAAGCAAGCAAAGCAAATTCAATAAAACTAGTTTAAAGTCCTTTAAACTCAATAAAACCAGTTTAAAGTCCTTTAAATTCTTTTTTAGATCTTGAGCGTTCCGGACGCTGAAAAGCCGCATATGTTTGCTGAAGGGACAAACGCTTTGGTGCTCTATTTTGTTAAATCTCCTTTCGAAGTACAAGCTAAAGGCAGCTACAAAAGGATATCAGCTGATTCGAAGCAAGTTTTGATGTAAGTGAATGACAGAGATCTCTGAAAATTGAGCAAAACTCTTGTAAATCATTTTCTAATTGATCAAAACAAAAGATTTTCGAAATGAAAACTAAAACAAAACTGTAGCTGAGTTTTTGATAGAAATTTCTATCATTAAATCTATCATTAAATCCATTCAATCAAAAATTTTCCATCCAATCCATCCAATCAAAGTTTTTTATAAGTCATAGACTTGAGAAAGGCTTTTGAAACAGTCATAGACTTGAGAAAGGCTTTTGAAACAGTCATAGACTTGAGAAAGGCTTTTGAAACAGTCATAGACTTGAGAAAGGCTTTTGAAACAGTCATAGACTTGAGAAAGGCTTTTGAAACAGTCATAGACTTTCAAAAGCCTTTCAAAAGCCTTTCTCAAGCCTTTCACAAGTGGAAAATCAAGAAAAACACCATTCTAATCCCTTTTAGGACTTAAAACTTCACAAAAAAACAATTTAAAAAGTAAACTAGCTAAGATTTTTCCTTTCAAATACTAGATAATACTGAGTTTTTTTTTTTGAAAAACTGTTATCTGTTCTCTCAAGATCTCTCAAGTGACCTCTTCTCCCCTCCTGCGCCTCCTTCAAGACCCCAACAACAATACTGAGATCTATTTATGCTTTATCTCTCAAGCTAAACGCCAAGATCTCTTGGCTTGGCTAAAAACTTAAAAGCTTTAAAATTCTGTAGTTAAAACAAATCCTTAAATTAAATCAAGCCAATTATCTTTAAAAATCAATCTTTTCGAGGTTTCGAGATCATTTTTAGAGATCTTATCGAGAAGAATCCAATGCTGAGCACGGAGAGAATTCATGAGTTGATGACGAGAGAACTGGATGGGCAAAGTGTTCCCGACTTGAAACGGGTAAGGGATCGTTTTGTGATCGAATTTGTAAACACACTAAAATGTCATTTAATCAGTCGAAAAGCTGAGTCTGGCTGAGGATTCCTTCAAAGCAATAGGAACCAACCCTTGGTCCCCTCCGAACCACCACTGACATCTATAATAAACACTGTTCGTCACACTGTGACTGTGACGTCATACACTGTGACTCTAACTTTAGAGCTCAATTTCTCGATGATTTTGATGGCTAGCGGTGTCCGAATGTCACATTAACAATCAGAATTCCAGGAAGAATCAAATGGTGCCATTTGCGTAATGATTCGGGTGTGACTAACGTCGATAACGTAACGCTGAGCGCCCCTCCGAGATTCCTGTAACAATAACTTCCACAATACCTTAAAGCAACTAAAATTGGCATACTTTAACTCCATGCTTGAAAATATTGAAAGCAAAAACGTTTGGAACGAGTGGGAATTGAACCCGACACCCCCTTCGAGCAGTCTTTTTGTAGAAGGGACGCTAATCACCTCGACCATGTGTGTTTACAGATTTAAGCGAATACTTCAAATGAGAAGATGTTCATTTAAAAAAAAACCTTTTCAGATCCAATTCCAACAGAAGAAATACTTGAAAAGTCTCTTTGTGCAGAAAAAACCAAAACGAATCGCTGGAAGCCGGGTCGCTCAATCAAATTTGGACAAAGATTTGAATGAAACCGAACCTTTTCAATACAACGATTTGCTCGAGAGTTTCGGATTGAATGAAGAAATGAATGAAGAGGAGAACCCATTTGCGGAATTTGGGGATTTCGTGGGTTTTAAAATTGTATAGAATCAGACAATACAGACTTTAACGATTCTAAAAGTACCTTTAAATATTTACCAGTTTGTTTTGATTGCAAAATCAAAAGATGCAAAAGATCAAGTGCCAAGGATTTGCCAGAAATCAGCTCTCTTTGCAAAACATAGAGCTACTGTGACCAGATTTGTAGTAGGGTCGACCAGACTCATAGAAAAGGCTTAGGCTTAGACCTAGGCTTAGACTTAGGCTCTGGCTTAGGCTTAGGCTCAGGCTTAGGCTCAGGCTGAGGCTTAGACTCAGACTTAGGCTCAGGCTGAGGCTTAGGCCTAGGTTTAGACTCAGACTTGGGCTCTGGCTTAGGCTTAGACTCTGGCTTAGGCTTAGACTCAGACTCAGGCTCAGGCTCAGGCTTAGGCTTTAGCTGTAAACTTACCTTTAGTTTGGAGCGTAGGGGCCCCAAGTTGTTTATCCGCTTTGCCCCACTATCCCACTCTCTTTCTCTCTCTGCCCCACTTTCTCTGCCCCACTCTCTGCCCCACTCTATGCCCCACTTTCCCCATTCCCACTCACTCCCACTCTTTCCCCGCCACTATCGATCGCGCCTCATTTTCATTTCGCTGCGATACCCAAGAAATTTTTATTATTTTCGTCTTTTGATGCTTTTGATTGTTGATTTCCGTTTTCCGTTTATTCCGTTTTCTATTTTTCAGCTATAATGAACCCTGGGAATAGTAAATATCCGTGGAAACAATTGTGCGATTGTCCATTTGGCACACACGGGATCAACTACGAGGCGCCATTAAAGAGCAAGACGACTCGCGGGAAACGTGAGTCAGATTTCAAAAGTCGTTTTCTAAACCGGCTAACTTTAGAGAATATCTATCTCGAGCGAATGTTTGTGAATAACGAAGAAAAGAGAGTTTGTAGACGTTGTTCAAATGTTGGTTACTCAAAGAAATCCGGGCGTTCATACGAGTTGATGTGGACACATTATTTGCAAAAGCATTGTGACGTGGTGGAAGAATTTTTGCGCGAAGAAAAGCGACGAGTCGCTGGGAAAGCGGAACTGGATCAAGTATGACTAAAAAATAGCAAAACTCACAAATGCATCCTTCTCGCGTACTGAAACTGGCCTTTTTTTTGACAAAATATAAGAATAGAATAGAAATTTAGATGCTTTTGGATAACTCTGAGTCGTCTGGACTTTTGGATATTGAAGGTTTCTTAAACCCGGCAATCTCTCCGACAAATTATCGATCTCATTACCACAATCAAAGGATGGAGAACGATGAGATCGTAGGTTTTCTTAATCAAGGTTTTTCCAGAAACAAAGAAGCCAAACTTGACCAGTTTTTTGGTGCTGGCTTGGTCTGGCTTGGCTTGGCCTGGCTTGGCTTGGCCTAGCTTGGCATGGCTTGGTCTGGCTTGATCTGGCTTGGTCTGGCTTTGTCTGGCTTAATCTGGCCTTGCCAAGGTCTTAAACGCGACTGACATTGACCTGATCCAACTTAACTTGATCCTGATCTGACCAGCTCTAATCTAGCACTTCTTCTGCTTGTTCTGGCTTGGTCTGGCTTGGTCTGGCTTGGTCTGGTTGGGTCTTGGAACAGTGTGAAGCTGTAACTGCCCTCTTGCTCCCTCATAGTCACCCCCTCATTTTATCTTTTTAGCCACCCTACCCCCTTGAGCCTTTCAGCCAGCCTGCCCCCTTCCCCTCTCCGCCTCTGCCCCCCTCACCCCCGCTCCCCTCACCCCGATAGCCCCCTTTCACCCCCCGCTATATCGATTTTTCTCGCGCCCAACATTTTTCTCCCATTTTCTGAAGGTTTTTTTGTTATTTTTTGATATTTTGTGTTTTCTTTGTACAAAATCTTCCCATCGAACAGATTAGACATTTAGACATCCAATTTAGACAATTAAAACAATTAAACAATTAAATAAATTACTTGCAAGCATAGCCTATCAATTATTTCCTGCAATTTAACAATTACAGTCTAGCCTGGAACTTAATTTTATGTTTCTCTGTCAACTTTGAGTCATTTTTGATGATGTTTTGTTTGGCTTGTTTTTACAAATTCTATTTAGTGCTGAATGCGTGATGGACGTCAATAGAGTGGGACTGAAAGAGCTGTGCAATTGCCCGGATGGAACACACGGACCAAATTACGAGTTGCCACTCAAGAGCAAGCATTTTGGAAGACGTGGGTTATTGAGTTTTTATTCTAAAATGTTTAAGAACAATCTTTTCTTATATTTTTCTACCACAACATCTCTTGGCTAACACATTTTTTAAACGAAATCTCTTTCAAAAACCTTTCAAGCTTCCAAAATGCCTCTGACACTTTCCAAAAAAGCGTTCCTAGGATTTTCTGGTACGCTGATTCGATTGTTGATATTTTTAAAGCCTATTTGCGGCTTATTTCTTCTTGTTTTCCTATGTTCTCTTGTTTGCTATTTCTCATTTTCTTTTTTAGATGGCAGGAATAGCTGCAGCTAATAGGTTGGATCTTAAATTGTTTAATCTTTTTACTGAGTGGCCAAAGCTCAAAGCTAAGACCGATGATGAGTTTGACAAGTGGCTATCGGAGCGGAAATTGCTATGGATGAACCGGAAATGTCTCAATTGCCAAGGCGTCTTAGTAAACAAGCCCAAGGAATCGCGCAAATTGTTGCTACTACTTGTTGTTGCTCTACTTGTTGCTCTACTTGTTGTTGCTCTACTTGTTGCTCTACTTGTTGCTCTACTTGTTGCTCTACTTGTTTTTGCTCTACTGGTTGCTCTACTTGTTTTTGCTCTACTTGTTGCTCTACTTGTTTTTGCTCTACTGGTTGCTCTACTTGTTTTTGCTCTACTTGTTGCTCTACTTGTTTTTGCTCTACTGGTTGCTCTACTTGTTTTTGCTCTACTGGTTGCTCTACTTGTTTTTGCTCTACTTGTTGCTCTACTTGTTGCTCTACTTGTTGCTCTACTTGTTTTTGCTCTACTTGTTGCTCTACTTGTTGTTGCTCTACTGGTTGCTCTACTTGTTGCTCTACTTGTTTTTGCTCTACTTGTTGCTCTACTTGTTGTTGCTCTACTGGTTGCTCTACTTGTTGCTCTACTTGTTTTTGCTCTACTTGTTGCTCTACTTGTTGTTGCTCTACTTGTTGCTCTACTTGTTGCTCTACTTGTTGCTCTACTTGTTGCTCTACTTGTTGTTGCTCTACTTGTTGCTCTACTTGTTGCTCTACTTGTTTTTGCTCTACTGGTTGCTCTACTTGTTTTTGCTCTACTTGTTTTTGCTCTACTTTTCAATTTGTCTTAGTTTATAAAACGTGCCAGAGACATTTTGGAAGCCTCGTTTTCTGAAATTGCTGCCTTCTAGAAAGTACATCGCCTAAAAAGAAAGAAATATCAAGAATAGAAAAATTTCAGTACGCTAGACAGATTGTGTTTATATTTTTACGTAAACAAGAGGACTTTTAGGCAACTTGTACCTGAATCGAATGTTTCTGACGAGAGGCGAAAAGCGAATTTGCATCCGCTGTCCAAATGTGAGCTATTCGAGGAATTCGGGGCGATGCTATGAGCACATTTGGACTCATTACCTCATGAGGCACTGCGATGTGCTCGAGGAATTTCTGAAAGAGGAAAAGAAACGTTTGCAACAAGGAACACCGTCAACGGAGATCCCGCAACGGATTCAACCAATCGAGGAAAGGGATCAGGTGCGCTAATAATGTTGAAATTTACTTATTTATCTTTTGTGCTCTCCAGGTTGACTTCTCAAGTGGGTAAGCTTTGGAAATGTTAGCGTTTTCCCTCAATTTTCATTAGGAATCGACTTCGGCCAAAATTATCGAGTAAAACGTTGGAATTAGCGACTATTTTCAACTTAAAAAGTAAATCTGGATAGCATTCAAGAGAAATATGCAAATTTTAGCAGTAAAAGCTAAACTGGCTTAAAACTGATTTTTCCAATGTACACCTACTTACCGGGTTCTCCATGTTTAGTTTCTACGATTGAAATATGCATATTTATCTTGCATGACATCCAGATTAGCTTCTCAAGTGGATAAATTTTGATAATTTGCAACGTTTTCTCCTAAATTTTTGACCAAGGTCGGTTTCTAATGAAAAATTGGGGAAAAACGGTGAAATTTCTAAAAATTAACTGCTTGAAAAGCAACAATCGACTAAAAGTTGCATAATTGAACCAATTGCGTACAATTGTTGCAAAGATTTCAGCTGTTTCTGGCCAATCACCAGTCATCTTCCTTGCAAATGGACAATTTCGCATCTCCGATCAATCCAGCTCCAATTTCTCCAATCGCTTTTACTAATTATCATCATAGTTCAAAAATCAACGTCTTTGAGGATGCTCCGGATCAGGAAAACGTTTGTTTTGTTTGAAAGAATCCATCTTTGCATCTTCTTATGTATTTTTGTTGTTTTCTTTTTGTTTTTTTCATTTTTCAGGCCTCTACATTCATTTCCAAGGCAATACGAGGAACCTAATCGAAACCTAATCGGAACCTAATCGGAACCTAATTGGGACTCAATCGGAGCTGAATCGGAACCTAATTGGAACCTAATCGGAGCTCAACCGGAACCCAATCGGAACCTAATTGGAACCGTATCCATCCATATTTGGAGTCATATTGGAACCATATTGGAACCATATTGGAACCTAATCGGAACCCAATCGAACCCGAATCGGAACCCAATCGGAACCCAATCGGAACCCAATCGGACCCTAATCGGAACCCATCGGAACCTAGTTGGAACCTAATCGGAACCGAGTTGAAACCGTATTGATACCGAATTAAGACCAAATTAGAACCGAATCTGAACCAAATCGAAACTAAATCGAAACCGAATCACAACCGAATCACAACCGAATCACAACCGAAAAGGAACCGAATCGGAGCCGAATCGGAACTGAATCGGAACTGAATCGAATCTTTCTTAAATCTTTTCATTGTCAACAAATTTCCCGTCCCAAGCGCTCTTTTATTCAAAACTGGTTACAAATCCAAGCCTGATCAAAGCCAAAGCTAAGAAAAAGAAGTTTTTAAGGTTTGAAGCAGAACTGGTGCAAATCATTCATATTTCAGCAATTCCTGTATCTCTTATGTGTATAAATGGTGTGCCAAATGGTGCACTATTGTGTGTAGAACAGAAGAAAACGCAAAACAAAAGTTTTACCCCAAAAGGGTCGAACTCAAGGAAAAACAAGCGGCAAGCGTTTTGTAATCAAGGGCCTTATCCACTAGGCCACCAAGCCGCGTTTTTGAGCCATGAGAAAACCGTTATAAAGGCTCGGTTTTTGGCTCGGCTTTTGGCTTTTTCTCTCAATTCTCTAAATTTTCCCAAGCTGAAGCTTAAAACACGTATAACTTTTTATAGAAAGCTTTTTTGCAAAAACGGGAGGCAGATTCGGAATCAGCGTGAAATTCTGCGTCGATTTCATGCTTTCACCTAAGTACAGCCTTTTGATTTGGTCCAATTTTTGAGCTTTGAGCTCAATTTTAAGCCAAAAGATTCGAAAAATTGATTTAAATCCTTATAATTAGGTAGATTAAACACTAGTTTATTGTTAAAATTGATAAAATCACTAGTTTATTGTTAAAACTGATTAAATTGTCGAAAATTTCAGGATGAACCCAGCTCGAGCTCGCTCTCACACTCGCCACTGAACGCGCTGCTCATGCAAACGAGTTCGCTGACGAATCGGGTAAATAAACCGGTCGGAAATGATCGGACAAACTTTGATCAGTAGATTCTATCGATATTTACATATTTAGATGGTTCAATCTCCTCAACCAGGCACGGAATATGAAATTTTCGAGGAGAAAATCCCTTCCTACTACATGGATTTAGCGAGAGGTGTCTCAGTGAAGGTAAAATCAATTTTTCTGGCTTAATCCGTTTCTAAAAATTAAATACGAAATGATATTCAGTTAACCAATAAAGAATTAAAGTTTTCTGTAAAAATGGGCTCTTTCCGATTGACTTTTGAATATTTTGAAACTTTTTGTCGGAGTAAACACTTTAAATGCCTATAACTTTGTTTAGAAATTATATTATTGTTAACTTTTTCTATAGTTTGATAGAGAATATTTCAGGCTTTTGAATGATATTAAATAGAGCTTCACTGGATTTACCAATATCTGAAAAATGTCGGAGTAAAGTGCTGGTAAAGTGTCAGAGTCGGTTAGCTTGGTTAGTGCTGGCTTTCTGGAGTTGGTTGGCTCAATCAAATTCGATTTGGTATCATTTGAAAGCCTACAGTATGCTCTATTCAATCAAAAAGTTAACAATAATATTATTTCTAAGTAAAGTTCGAAATGTAACTAGGTAGATAATAAATAAAACAACAGTGATTTCAAAATTTCAGCAAGCTTTGTCAACTCATCGAAAAGTGCCGGAGACTGGTCAACTCTTCACTGGCGCTCAGAAACTCGTTCTTGACGGAATCGTGAAAACGGTTGGTGTTGGAGAAGTTGTCTAACATTTAGATATTTCTAGATATTAACAAAGGAATGTCAACAAGGGTGTGGTGGCCAAATGGCATGAGCCATTTACTGGCCGACGTAGAATTTTGCGCTGATTCCGAATCCGTTTTCCGTTTCTGCTATGGAACACTAAAAAGTGATAAGTCTGCGTTTTTCAGCCGAGTTTCGGGGCTCCCCAGTGGCTCTGGGAAATCTGGCTATAAACTCGAGAGATGATTTTTAAAATTCCGTTTAAAACCTTGCAGATTTATCACTTTTTAGTGTTCCATAGCAGAAACGGAAAACAGATTCGGAATCAGCGCAAAATTCTACGTCGGCCAGGAAATGGCTCATGCTATTTGGCCACCACAACCAGTTGACATTCCCTTGGAAGTCTAAAGTTCTAGAAATATAACTAAAACTAGCTGCTGCTCAGCTGTTACTGCTAGCTGCTACTGCCAACTGCTGATGCTTGCTACTGCTGCTCAGCTAGCTGCTGCTCAGCTACTGCTGCTATCTACTGCTGCTAGTTGCTGTTCAGCTTTTAAGTGTTCTTTGTTCTTAAATTTGAAAACACACATCTTCTGACGTACTGAATTTTTCATTTTTCTAACAGTTCAGAAGAAAACTGAAGAGTTCAGTGCACCAGAAGGAGTGTGTTTACTCGTGAGAAACGTTAACCTCTGATTACAAGCGAGCAACGTTAACCTCTGATTGAAATCCTTCAAAACTTAGGTAATTGAAGAGGGTTCCGATGCAGGAAAGGACTTCTAGTGTGCCAAAAAGGATGCGTTTACCTGAACAATTTTTTTTTCTAAAAAAGGCAAAACTTTGGAGGAACAGGGGTTTGAACCCTGGACTTCTCGCATGCGAAGCGAGCGCTCTACCACTGAGCTATACCCCCGGTTGAAAGCAGGGTGGTTTTTAGGGATTGATAAGCTAAATAATCCAGAGATTTAAGGCTTTTGTTGATTTTCTCTAATAGTAGTGCAGCGTCGTCTAAATTCTTCGAAATCTCGAGAACCGTTTATCAAAACCTATCGATGTGAGGGCGGAAAATGTAGCTAACGATGAGATCTAGTGGAAAATTAGAGTGTTGAGCTTCTGCAAAAGCTTGAAAACCGTAAAATAGTTACCAAATCGGCACTACTATTAGAGAAAATACGGTCTGCTTCAAAAATAATGAATTCAAATTGAATTTAGTTAAACGAGCTTCTCCTAAAGTCAGACAATAATGGATTTAATGGTGAAGAAACGGTTGGTTACATTAATTCTACAATAACTTCAACAAAACAGTTATTTGCTAATCTTATTAAAGATTTCATAGCACTTTTCCATGCTATAAATCTTTAGAAACCCTTTAGAAATCTTTAGAAACCCTTTAAAAACCTAAAGCCTTTAGAAAAAAGGATTAGTTAACTATTTTTTTTCGTTTAAACTCTCTACAATCTTTTTCTTTGCTATAGTTTTTTATTGAAAAGCTAAAATAGAATAACTTTATAGATTTATAGAATAAAATGAAAGTATTATAGTTTAATATGATAGCCGACTGGATAGGAATCTTGTTTATGAATCGACGGGTTCGAAGCTCAAAGGTTCGATCCAAGTAGCCAACAAAATTTAGAAATACTATAATAATGCTGAAATTGAGATATTTATCTTGTGTGATATCCAGATTGGCTTTTCCAAACGGTTTACCCAATTTTTCCCTTCAATTTTCTTCAGCAATTTGATATTCAATCTCATTTTCAGCCAATCAACGTCCTCCAATTATTCCCCGACATCAAGCCGACCTCCGGAAACGGGTTTTAAAGCTTTATTTATTGTTTTGATGAATAAATTTTCAATTTCTAGACTCAAAACTGTAATTAAGAGACTTTTTAGATTGCGAAATTCGTTTTTTGGAAACTATTTAGGAAAAAAATGATGCCCGTTTAAAATTTCGCATTGAGGAATTGAAATTGACTTGAATTGAACACTCAAAAGCTTGCAAAGTGCTTGAAAGCTTGAAAGCAAAGCTTGAAATTGATCACAAGATCAGAAAACGTTGATCAAAAGAGAATCGACAACCATTTGCATCAACTAGAGAGTTTAGATCGTCAATGTATCCTAATGATCATGGTACTTTGAGGATTTTGAGTTCTAATTGAGGATTCTAAGCAGATCATCTATTCGGGGATTCATTATGAACTGAGATTATCATTGGAATCATTATGAACTGAGATTATCATTGGAATCAACTCTGACTATCAGGGATTCATTATGAATGACTATAAATAAGTGCTTAAACAGGGATTCTTGCTGGAAAATGGGTCTCAACTTGATTCAAGACAACTTCTCTCCTTCTTCCTTCTTCTCTCTCCTTCTTCCTTCTTCTTCTCCGAAGATTGAATTGCTCTGTGAGGCTTGCAACAAGCCTTGAACTGCAAGATCGACATGTAATCTGTAAAGATGCAAGATCTGTAATCTAAAACATTCAAAGTTGAATAAATCGATTGATCTTTCAATTTCTCAGTCTTTTTATGGCGCTTGATTGGTTTTAAAACTGTTTGGTGAGGTAAAAGGCAAAAGGTAAAAGGCAAAAGGTAAAAGGCAAAAGGTAAAAGGCAAAAGGTAAAAGGCAAAAGGCATAAGGTAAAAGGCAAAAGGCAAAAGGTAAAAGGCAAAAGGTAAAAGGTAAAAGGCAAAAGGTAAAAGGCAAAAGGTAAAAGGCAAAAGGTAAAAGGCAAAAGGTAAAAGGCAAAATCTTCATCACTGATTTGCCATTTTGATTGATAATTGCTATTTCTTATAGAATGCAATAAATTGTAACAATTTATTGCATTCTATAAGAGTGTTACACTCAAAAGAACAGGAATTGTTTTTTTTTTACAAAATTACTGATCAAAATTGCTGATCAAATGGAAAAAACGGTAGAATAGTTTCTAGAAATTAGTTTCTTTTTCAGAAATTTTGATTAGAAAAAAGTTTAAAAGGATTTTAAAGCTGAAAAAGACTGAAAAAGACTTAAAGAAAACAAATTTTGATAAAAATTCACATTTTTGAAAGAGAAATGAGAGATTAGTAAGCTAAAAAGCTAAAAATAGCAAAAAAAAAAACACAGTTTTCAATTAGTTGAAGCTGGTTTATCGTGGAAAAGGCTAAATCTTTTGCCTTTTTTTTCTCAACTTTTGAGTGTGTTTCTTGAAAAAAGCTCTCGAAATCGTTCTCTTTATTTTCTCTGAGAAAACATTGGCTTAAAGTCTTTTCTTTTGCTCTTGTCATTGTCTCAATTCAAGATTTTAGCTGAATTTATGTAAAAATTCTAGGTAATATTAACCAATTTCTATTTCAAAAGTTGTTTTTCTGGGTAATTTGAGGGCGTAGAATCGAAATTTTGGCATAACATAATTAAATTTCATTATATAGAGCTTGACGTGAGGGGGCGTGGCTTGGCATCCTGCCGAGGCTCTGCTTTTAAATTGGCTTTTAAACCTTTTTTTCGGAACCTTTTTTCGCGTTTTAAAAAAGCTCTAAAAGCTAATATCAACCAATTTCTATTCCAAAAGTTGTTTTTCTAGGTAATTTTAGGGCGTAGAATCGAAATTTTGACGAAAAAGCTCTCGAAATCGTTCTCTTTATTTTCTCTGAGAAAACATTGGCTTAAAGTCTTTTCTTTTGTTCTTGTCATTGTCTCAATTCAAGATTTTAACTGAATTTATGTAAAAATTCAATTTTTTTACAATAAATCTCTTTAGAAATAAATCTTTTTTGATTTTTTAAAAAAAAGCTAAATTTCCTCTCGCTAATTGGGCCTATTTTTTGTCGGACGTCAGAAAAGGGAATTTTTCAAAAAAGCGGATAGCAAAAGTACCTGGGCAAGACAACCAAGCTAACCTAGTAATGGCCAGAAGTCGGCCAGAGGTCGGCCAGAAGACTCAGCTTATCCTTGAGACAGCCTGGCAACCTTTTATATGAAAAGTCCGGCACTACCAGTACCTTGTCCCATCTTCACATCCTCTAAACGCCTCGGCAACCATTTTTTTTTATTTAACCATTTCAAAGCATTTGTTGGGCTTTTGTGTGGCTTAAAGAATTAAAATATGCAAAACTATCGAATCTTTGTTTGCATTCATTCGAAAGATGGATTTAATTGTAGATCGAAAATCTACACTCAAGCTAGGCTCAACTTTTTGCATCCAGAAGAAGAAAAAGAATGGCTTTTTGGATCAAATTTCTTCTTGATTCTTTTAAGTGAAGAATATTCTCGTTTAGAGCTCAATAGCAGAGAGCTTTTGATATACGGAAGTTAGATTTTTGATTCTTTTCTTGATTTTGATGCATTTTGGTTGATTTTGATTGATTTTTGTTGATTTTGATGGATTTTGATCGATTTTGATGCATTTTGATCGATTTTGATTGATTTTTCTTGGTTTTGATGCATTTTGATCGATTTTAGGACTAAAATATTAGCTGTAGAGGTGCAAAATAGTAATATAATAGGATTCAAGAGAGAAATGGGCTAATCCTTTTGTGCAAATAGACTAGATTAGCACAGCTTTAGGCTAGAAAAAAAGAAAATAAGAATAGCCGATTCAAATACCCAATCTTTCCCACTTTCATTCTACTTTGAGCTTCTTTTTAACGCATCTAGAACATTCAATTCTAGAACATTCAATTCTAGAACTTTCAATTCTTTAGTTTTCTCTATAATAAAGACCAATAAACAGACTATAAGTGCACTAGAAAGGGTGTGTTTACGATTTCTAAGCACAAAGTACAAAGAAAAATCTAATACAAGACGAAAAAATGAAAAAAATGAAAAAAATGATCAACGCAATCACTAAAAAAATCACAAAACTTCAATTTTCTTGCTTAAACGAATAAAATTCAATTCAATTACCCTAAAAAAAGAGCTTTTTCTCGTAAATCAACTCAAAATGAGCCATAAATGCGAATTGGATTTGGTTAAAACTCGAAAAAGCTGAACACAGCTTGAAAGTACACAGCTGAAAAGGGTTGGCTTTAAAATCTTTTCGAAAATCATCATTTGTTGTCTTTTTTTGATGCAAATTTTCAATCTGGAACTCACCAAATCCAATTCGCTAGGAAATTCTCGTTTTAAAGCGAAATTGAAATTTTTTTTTTTCCCCACTTTTTTTCAATCTGGAATTCACACTATAGTAAAAACTCATTTTTGATTGAAATTTTTAAAAAATTGTTTTTTCCAATTTTTTCCAATAATTCTCGTGGTTTAAGAGCTCTTTTTTTAGCAATTAATTATTTATTTCTTTTCTTTTTCTTCTCAATAACTTCTCATTACTTTTTTTCTCACTTTTACTCCCGAAAAAGCTCAAAGAAAGATTTTTTCCTTTGAAAAGTTCGTTTTTATTGTATTTTTTAGGTTTTTGAAGGGTTTTAAAGCAAAAGAATGGAAATTTTCGAAAAATTTGATCCAATTTGATCTCCTAGATCTTGAAATAACTGAAAAATAAGCTAAAAAATCGATAACCTTTCTCTTTATCTTTCATTTAACCTTTTTAAAACCTTATTCCAACCACTTACTTACAATTGATGCTCACATTTTAAGCATAAATTTGATTTCATGCACCTTTTATAGCTTTTCACATCATCTATCTCATTTTTCTTTTAGTACTTTTCAATCTGGAAGTCACACAATACAATTCGCTAGGAAATTCTCGGTTTTAAGCGAAAGTGAAATTTTCAAAATTCTTTTCCTTTCGAATTCTTCAATTTCAAAGCGTAAATGAAAATTTTCTTTTTTCATTTTTTTCAATCTGGACGTCACACTATAGAAATTTCCATTAAAAGCTTATTTTTAAACAAAATTGAAATTTCCAAAATTCTTTTTCTTCCAAATTTTTCAATTTTAAAGCTTAACTGAAAATTTTCTTTTGTCATTTTTTTCAATCTGGAATTCACACAATACAATTCGCTAGGAAATTCTCGTTTTTAAGCAAAATTGAGATTTCCAAAAAACCTTTTGCTTTCCAATATTTTCCTAGTCCAATAATTCATCTCATAGCTGAGAAAAGAGCTCTTTTTTTTCAGCTATGAATTATTTATATCCCTTTTTTTCCTTTCAACAACCGAACACATTACTTTTTTTCTCACTTTCACTCCCGAAAAAAGCTCAAAAAAAGGATGTAAACGATGGGAAAATTGATAGAAAAAGTTAGTTTTTACGGCTTTTTTTTAGCTTTACAGATTGTTTTAAAGTAAAAGCTTGAACATTTTCGAAATTATTGATAACTTTTGCCCAACTAGCTCTTAGATCTTTTAAGCTTTTAAGCTTTTTACTCACAGTTTAAGCATACATTTAGAGTATAAATTCTCAAAAATTTCAAAAGTACCTAGAGGTTTTTGGCTCGTTTTTCTATAATCTAAATGAATTTTTCATCTTTCGATATTTTTCTATAATTCTTTGACTATAGAAGTTTGACTATTTTGGCTGTTAGAACTAGCACCAAACAAAAGAAAACAAAACTAGCTTCAAGATCATTTTCCCTAGACCAAAAGAATTTCTTGCAAATTGTTATGTATAGAAAAGGAGCTAAAGAAGGCTAAAAGAAGAGAAAAAGAAAAAAAATTGGCTGGTAGGGCCTGGTCCTTTGTGTCACCAAAAGAAAAAGAAGGGGGGGGGGGAAAGGAAAAATGGCTTTCTTTTTCTCTTTCTTGAATCTTTTCCCTTTTCTCCATGGCCTTTATCAAGCTTTTTCTAGTTTTCTTTTAGATAACTTCAATGGATTATATAATTTCTGAAACTTTATCTAGAATCTAAAGAGTTAAAGAATTGATTTTTCTTGCTT